CCGATACGTCTCGGTAGCACGTTTCTCTCGTAGCTCGTGTACAGGAAACCGTAAAGGTGTGCAAGCCCGCCTGTCCAGCCCTGCCAGTTCGAGACTGGGTAAGGCTGAGTTTCGTCTCCCGCACGTCCAATAACAAAGCATCGGGTGTGTCAGTGCACGTTTCTGTTGTAGTGAAAGTAAATTAGTGTCAACTTGCACACAAATGTGTGTATGACGACTGTCCGGCCTCGTGTGAGTGTACGATGCCAGTTGTCACAGCTAAACTACGCTGTAGATGAGAGCCGCTGTCAAAAAGGTTGTTCGTCGATATTGGGGTATGCAATACGGCCGGTCACGCGAACACCGGACGGACCACGCACTGCACTCGCTGAGCAGTCGTCATGGACCTTCGCGTGGCCACTTCCTATCGTGTGAAGACGCTGAGACGAACGATTTCAGATTGGACTGACACCATAAGCTTTGGCCCTCCTTTGTGTTCAGAGTTACCAATAACACGAAGGAGCTCAATACCGTTTCATCGAGCGACGACCTCATATTTCACTGAGCTTCTCTGCGCTTTTTGAAGCCCGTCGCTGTGTATGGCCTTGGGAAAACAGTTCATCAGACCGCACAGCAAAGTTACGTCGACGAAAAGAGCATTGCAAGTAAGAGAAGTGGCTGTAACGATCGTCGCCACGGCTTCCTTGAGCACGGATCGTACAAGCACAGTACGACAAAATTATCGCTACCGATATCATAATGAATAATGTCAGTTGTTTTTATCATCATAGTCGCTATTGGTGGTACGAATCTTCATCATCAAATTCATCATTACTGTCGGTATCACCATTGCCCCATGTATTGCGTGTAGAGCGCGGCTTCAGCCTCTCGGTGCGTGGGCCACGAACACATACTTCACTAGTATAGGTGTTGTCACTGTCGTGATACGACCAACATCACAAGTGTTTTCTTGCCGTGCGCCAGGTTCTGGAACCGAGCACAGCTACACCTGACTACAATCTCTCGTTAGCACGCGCCGTACAATTTTGTTCCAACTACAAGGGCTTGTGGATTCACCATTTGCATTCTCACTACTACGCATGATGAGAGTGTCCATCACGCGCGGCATTGACGATTGTGGTCGCCAATGCTACTGGCACCAAAAGGCGCTTTTGTCACGAGGAGACGAGTTTTCCTGCGGCCTCCTGTAAAAAATGTACGATCGAAAAGGCGTAGCACTGGACCATCTTCTTTTCATATTTAGAACGCAAGGCAGCGGTTAGACTGAGTGGTGCGTAGTCCAATGACGCGGTCAATAGCCTTTCCATCGTCACCCAAATCGTCATTTTGTTAACGAGATATCGACCAACATCCTGTTTTGGCAAATGCGCAGCCGGTGGACGCAATGTAAATTTGGTGGAGTCATGCCCGGTTGTCTGTGAATTCCGGTCAAAGATCACGTCAACGAGTAGGTGTATAAGCCACACGGATCGCTTGTGAGGTGGGACAGATCAAGTTCAGACTGAGGCTAGACTGACACAACGGATTGGGGCCACCCGCAAGAGTTATAGATTGTAGCACAGAAGTATCAATCAGCGATATGATACGTGACAGCTGAGTTGTACCTGCACCCTGCAACTGTTCAGAGTCCTTGCAATCAGCACTTTAGACTTGACCTTTTCCAGAGGTACGGGAACAGGTCTCCAGCCACGCGCCGACGAAAGAGAAAGTCGAGGATGCATCAAGCTGATAGATAGCCTCAGGACATCCTCCAGGTACGATGCGCTCGTCCAGTTCGTTTTGTGCAAAGGCTTGCAAAGCCACTCGAAACAATCCCTTTGCATGACAACGCGAGGACAAGCGAGCCAATGCAGTTCAAAAGGCTGGATACCCGTGAAGCAGACTAGACGCTGTCCATGACGAACTAGCTCGCAGTTCAGGTCAACCTTTTTCTGCTAGACGCAGTACGGCAAGCGTAGCAACGAAGCCTATCCATTGATCATCAAAACGTTACAAGTCGTAGAAGCCAGTACATGGGCTACTGTCGTCGCTTCGGAAGGTGCGGGCATCGAGCTCGGCCAGGAAGAGTACGGTTCGCGTTTAGCTCATACAAAATAGCGCAGTACGTGCAACGCGTCGTTCGGTGTTGCGCCAGATACTATTCGTTCAGCTCATTTCAAAGCTCGTGGCGATACAACGGTAGCTAGACATCTCTTCTTGCTCCTTCCGCTCACGCCACCCATGTGGGCAAATCGAAGGGCGTCGCATGCATTGCCACAAATGTATGTGCGTGAGCACGCAGGTCTGTTGAAGAGGTGGATGTGCAACACAAGTACAGCCGTGATGGTACTGTTACTCGAATGTTATACTTTGCCTCTCATCGATGCGAGCTCCCTCGTCGGTCGTAATGCAATGGTTAGCTGCGATGGCCATGCCAACTGCAGCTGCTTCATGGCACATACATGACAAGGTGCTCGACAACTAGCTTCCACCATACTGCCAAAGCACTTTGGCTTACGCTTGGGTCCTCATCGACGACACTTCTAAGTATGTAAACTGGTTGTGGTGCTTGATGGAGGTCCACACATGTAGTCATGATACTCCTGCTCGGCTCGAATTGAAAAAGGCGGCTGCGCTTCCTGCGTCCGATCGAAGCTGTGAAGGCAACAGAAGCTTTGTACAGTTTGTATATCGTTGCTTGTCACACTGTCGGTCACCATCTTGTCGCGACTCGAGCGACAGGTAATGCGGATGTCGTATGGATATGTTGACAGCGCCTCTGCGATCGCTCGAAGACGTAACTCGCGCTTAGCAAAGAGGAATAGCAAGCCCGTGAAGAGACAAAGGCCGGCTATAAGTCTCGTGCATAGACAGCAAGAAGGGGTTCACACTGCGTGAGTGCTTGAGTGAGAAGCGTTGTTGCTATCGTGCTCAGCGGCGGGTGGCTCACGCATGAAATGCCACAGTTAAGTCTCGACAAATAGCAGGATCTTCGATGGTGACTACTCGAGCAAGATGGATTGACAACGCAAAGCACAGACGACAGCGGTGCGGTATGGCTAGCTAGTCATTGTGCTAAAAGGTTGGGGGGTACGACGTGCGTCAAGGGATCGATCGACGTTACGGAACGCTCAGCCTTTGAGCCATGCTGGTTGAGGAAGAAGCACTCCCAGGCCGACTCATTACCGTATCGAAATGGTTTACAGACGGTGAGAACTTGCGGGATAAAGCACATGGAAGTCAATGTGTCGACGGGCCACGCGGGGAGAAGAATGATGGGGAGGAGGAGAGTGTCGACTTTATGCATTCGGAGTGGAAAGCAGGACAGGTGGATGCTTCGTCAAGCCGAAGCTGTTTGGCTGGTCAAATGCTCCAGCTCGCCGTTCTGCGTTGGTCGCACGCAGTCTGCTGTGAAGTTCTTACGGTACGCGTATAAATGCGTCAGTACTGCGCATAGCATCGTCTTTCCATCAGTGTCAATCTTGAATGGTCCATCACTGACGAATACAATGCATGTCTCGCACTTGTCAGCATCTGTGTCGGTCACTCGGGAGCTACCTTACCATTGCAAAAACGTTGCTGTCTCCCTCGATATCATTGCGTTCGCACTGCTTAATATGCATCCATGACTCTTCAAACTTCCCATGGGTCTGGCCGGGTGCATGCAACCCAAGGAAAGCGAGTGGTGATGCGCATGACCAGCGAGAGAACCCGTCGTCGCGCGATGTAGTAGCTCATGCCAAACAGTTTATCAAGTGCAGCTCGAAGCAGTTCTTGTCGGGTAAACATTTCCGTACAGCAAGTAGGGCGACATGCACTTGTTTGAAATGCAAACGCCTTAGCACGCGTCTCGCGCCATCCGTTCTCCTATCAGTTTCACGAGACCAAAGGCGTTCGTTGCGCTTCGGAAACTCGAGCATTGCCACATCGTCTGCAACAATCTCTCTCTCCTGGAAGAACAGAGACTGCATTGTCCTTCACCAAGCCTGTATTTGTCACATTGTAATCGACATCCGCCACGAAATTTGCACAGCGCGTACAAGCTACACAGGATCAGCAAGAAACCAGGAGCGCTCCATTATGACAGCGTTAGCGTCAATCCCGACTCTTATTACCTTTTCGGAGCCGTCTCGCCCTATTTCCCTGTCTTCAGTTTTATCGTCTTGCCAAGAGAGAGGCTATTTGCGACCAGTGCAGTCGAAACACGAGGTCGCGTGTATTTAGCTACACACGTCAAGAAACTTTCGATGCGAATGGTAAGTCAGAATTTGGGATGGCGTCCTACAAAGAGCCACCTGTTGATGGCTGACCCGCCTTCAAAGGCAGTGGACCTATCGATCTTGAACGCCACACAACAGAACTGGTAGGCTGTCGTCCATCCTAATTTGGCAGCGAGCCGAAATGAAGCAACAAGTATGAACGCTGGTGCCTCCGGCTACAGAGTACGAGACAAAGCTTTGCTACTTGATGCTGTCAGTGCCATCGAATATCAACTACTGAGCGAATCTGTCAGTGTCCAAAGCATCTACAACGTCGATCGAGCGTATCTACATCGAATTTGCGCAGTGTCTCGATACTTTGTGCAGAGACCCGTTTGGCACAGGATCGTGCGACACAAGCACACAATGAGCGCCGAAACGTTGTCGATCGATCTCACTCATGCGTAAGCGACGCCTACGCACGAGTGAAGAAAAATGCATCGGGTACGCGTAATCTGCACGCAACACAAAACGTGCCCTGAAGAAAACCTGAGGAGGTCGAAGGCAAAGATGCAAAGCACACTGTCACGTGGAAAGCAGCTGAATCGGCAATACCTCTTTGTTTGGGAGGATCGAAAACAGGCGTCCAACTAGACGAAGAAATGCGATGCGTGGTGGCGAGTTGGCACGCAAACAGGTGAAGCCGTGCCGCACGAGAAGAACACAACGGTCGATGTAAATACTATATTCACTTGCTCTTATATTTTCAATCATTACATAACGCCGGGAGACACAGTTGAGTGCAAAGACTCGAGAGGTTCACTAGGTCTTCCGAGAGCTCTTCAACGGAGTCCACAAGTTCCGAACTTCTTCTGATTCACTGCCTCCAAACGATCCAACGGCTTCAACAACGTCGCAGTATTGACGCAGATCACTCATCAACTTGCTACAGCTAGCGTTGAACCCTGCTCCATTCGCCATAAAGTGGAAAAGCTCACTGCGTACGAGCGTGTACAGCTTGTCCAGGCCCGGCTCCAGGTCATTCAGGACCACTGGAAAGATCGGTCTTCCTTTGTCTTCTGCAAAGGCTAGTTGATCGCGCACGAGCTCATTGCCGATTGTCTGTCTCGACACTAGAACGATAAAGCACGAACAGTGCATGATCGCCTCTTGGGCCCCCTGGATCCTCGTGTTAAAGTCCTGTCCACTGCGGTTTTGGTCACTGTAGCACGCAATGCCTCCATCCGTGAGCTGTGATGCCAATTGACGCACGAAAGGCGCGTGTTTGTCACCGTGGGAAAGAAAGACAAATCGCCGTCCATACGACACGGAGGGCGTCGTAAGGCTGCACGAATCAGTCCCTTGCGATAGTTGCGTGGCACTGAATGTCTGAAGCATCGTGCCTCGATTGCTGCTACTCTCATATTCCATGCCAAGGTCAGGTCGGCGACGACTAGCCACGTTTTTCCGTCGAGTGACGTAGCGATGCTTTTCCACCTCGTCCCGCACACCATCCAGCAACAGGTGGAACTGGAATCGGTATCGACTGTCGTCGTAATCGTACTCCACTCGACCTTCATCGCATCGGACACCAGTGATCGCAGGCTCGAACGGGACGATCTGACGCGTGTACAGATACACTTGCAAATCCTCGTCAATGCTGGCCCCTTCGGTCGAGACGGCCAAAATCGGCGTGCCCACTTGCTTGGCCAGTGCTAGCTCCTTCAGACACCATTCCGATGCTGCATAGTCCTCCGTGAGAATACAGAGCACTACTGACGCATTCGTGATGCCACGTGCTATCTCCTCACGCCAAACCGCACCGCCGCCAATACCACTCGGGTCCATGAGATCCAACCACGTCGTGACATTGGCTTCTTCCAGCGACTGCCTCAGCTTCAGAGCAAACTCTTGGTGCGAGTGCGTGTAGCTGATCATGACGTCCCGCTGACCTGCAGCGCGCTTGAGCCCAAAGAGCAGTCGCGTGGAGAGCGTGCAATCGAGCGGGCGCAGGCCTTCCTTGTTCATGCGCATCAGGTCGGCTCCACAGGCCAACGCTGCTAGAGCCGACGCCTCGTTCTCCTCTCGAACCGCAACGTGCAGCACCGTATCCCCTGTGGTTGGCAGCTGGTAGCCAATGTCGCCCCCTGCACTTGTTAGCTCCCGAAAGAGTTCGCGCGAGACATTGCGTGCCGACGCGGCGCACATGAGCGGTGTCTTCAAGTCCCCGTCGAGTAAATTCGGATCGGCCTTCGCACGCAGCAGCGACCGCACCACGTCGAGCTTGTTCAGCTGCGCTGCCCAGTGCAGTGGCGAGCGACCGCGCACGTCCTGGAAATTCGGGTCGGCGCGTCCTGCCAACAGGGCCTCGACGGCCCCCGTGGCGCCACTGATCGCGGCCCAGTGCAGCGGCGTGCGCCGATTGAGTCCGACGTACCCCATCTCGCCCAGGCAATTCACGTCCGTCTTCCACGCGACAAAGCGCCGCACGGCCGCCACGTCGTTGCGCGCGGCCGCCAAGTGGAACGGCGTGAGCGCGACGTCGCCGCCCCACTCTTCGAGCTCCCGCGCGACGGCAAAGTTGCCGCGCATAAAGGCGAGTTGCACGGGTGTGATCGTGTTCATGTGGCCGGGGTCGGGGATCACGAGCGGGTCGGCCCCGTGCAGCAGCAGCTCGCGCGCGATCTCGGCGTGTTCGGCCAGAAACAGCGGCGGAATGCGCTTCGACCGGAACGACGCCTGCGAGAGCGTCCCGGGCGGCACGCCGCGCTCGAGCAGCCACCGCACGGTGGCCAGTTGCCCCGTGGCCACGGCACAGTGCAGCGGCGTCACGAGGGTCGTGTGGAAGATGGACTCGGCCGACTCGGCGTCGCTCCCGGCGGGCCGCTGCACGAGCACGCGCAGGAACTGCCAAAAGAGACCGCCGGTCGAGAGCACCACGCGCTGCGCTTTGTCCAGCGCCGTGAGGTCGAAGCCGTAGGCGGCCAAGAGCTCGAGCGCCCGCAGGTTCCCGAGACTCGCGGCCACGTGCACGGGATTGGCCGTCGACCGCGCAAAGAACTGCCACCGGAGCGCCGGCGCCGCGTAGCACTGCTGCGGGAAGCCGACCGCGCGGTGCGTGAGGCCGGTGGCCGCTGCGTGCGCGAGCAGCTCACGCATCTCGCGCAGGTCGCCCCGTCGCGTGGCCTCGTACAGCCGCGTGCGCACGACGGCAATGCGCTTCGCGGCCGTGTCGAGCGTCTCGGGCCGCTGCAGGCGGTCGGTGCCGCGGCGGCGCGCGCCCGTCTGGTCGTTCTCGGTGAACGCCCCGAGCTGCATCTTGACGTGCTCGCGGTAGCGCGCAAAGGCGCCGAGCACTGTGAAGAGACCGGTGGCGCTGGCCGCCGCGCCGAGCGCGAACGCCTGCGTGGCGACGCTCGAGCACGAGTCGAGCGCACCGCTCGAGAGCACGTAGAGGAAGTAGAGCCCGAGGGCCGCGTGGCCAAAGAGGAGCAACACGGCCAGCACTTCGCAGAGCTGGAAGACGACTCCGCGGCGGATCGTCGCCACGCGCATAGTGTCGCGCGTGTCGTCGGGATCGAGTGGGGTACTGGTCGTGCTCTCTGACTGACTGGCGGCAGTCGAGAGGCCGTGGGGCTCGGCGTCCTCGCGCTCGAACGGCTTAAAGAGCCGCAAACCAGAGCCCGGCAGCGTCAGTGCAATGGTCGCGGGCAGCGTCTTGAAGATGAGGTACGCGAACGAGGCGACGGTGTTGCAGTCGTCAAAGTCGTCGGCGTCGCGGTTGTCGTCGAGCCAGGGCTGGACGAACGCGCTGAAGAAGAGGCAGCCGGCGATGAGCGCAGCCGAGAGGACCATCCCCGCGCGCAACAGCTGCCGCGCGAAGAACGAGTTGTCCAGGACCTGGATCCAGTGCCAGTAGCGCGGCAGTGTGCCGCGCAGGCTCTCGATGCTCGCGTAGTGCCGGCGCTTCATCTCGATCCAGAGCGGCTGGTCCGACCGCAAGACGCCTTCGCACGACGAGTGGGTCGTGCCGCGGGCGCTCGCGTCGCGTGCATTGGGTTGGACGACGAGCAGCGACTGGCGCAGCGGGCGCGCGGGGAACGGGTCGTCGGACCCGCGCGGAGCGCCGTGGCCAGGGAAAGGCGGCGGGTGATGGCTGCGTCGGTCAAAGTCGGCCGTCGTCGGGGGGGTGGCGGACGCTGTCGTCGGAGTCGGCTCGGGCCATGCAGAGACGCTCGACAAAGGCAAAGGAGGCACGACGGCTGGGCGAAGAAGAGAGAGAGTGGAAGAGGGAGACTGGGGATGCTGCGATTGCGACTGCTGCTAGTACGAGGAGAAGGAGATGCAGACGAAGGAGGAGGAGGAGGAGACGACGGAGATGGAGATGCCGAAGAAAAAGAGAAGAGCGGCAAATCTGTGCGGTCAGTGCAAGACCTGGGAACGAGGATGGGGGCGAGATGGTCGACTCTGGATTGGGCAGAGTCGGTCTGTGCAGATTCGCTCGAGGTGAATGGGACGAGCTCGAGGGCCTCATGACGATGGACGGAGCAAGTGAGTAAGTGAATGAGAGTTTGTGGCCTGAGAGGAGAGGGCAGAGACGGGAGTGAGAGCGTGTCAAGTGAACAGGTCATTGTTGGGCTATGGTCAACGGTGTGCCTGTTGTTGTGCTTCTTTGTGTGTGTGTGTGAAGAGCTCACTACGGTGTGTGGATTCGTGGCGCATTCGAACTTGACGGCTCCTATCCTCCTGCGACTTGTGTCACTAGTTGTTGCCACTGTTATTATTGTTACGGTCGTTGCTGGTTTTGTTGCTGCTGTTGCTGTTCGTGGTGGTAGCCGTAGTATGCGGCTACGACGGTCATCTCTCGAAGGTGTATGTGTGGGTGAGATTCACGATTGTTAGTGAAAGCCTCTCTTGCGTTCAAGATACGTGGGAGGGGCAAAGGGCGCTGGACAGAGCCTCTTCTTCCGATTCCTTTCCTTGCATGCAAAGTCATGCAGATTCTGCTGACACGCTGAGTGCGTAAACACGGCGGGTCGGAAGCTACGAACTGGCAGCGAAACTGGCGATCCACGGGATACCGCCGGGGGTTTCGCTGCCGAAACGCGGTCGAATTCTGGTCGTTTGAATCTCCGTCTGATGACAACAACTGCAACGGCGAAACGTCTGCACTTTGCAACGCACTGCATTGTGGCGCAAAGCGTCAGTTGAATACAGTCGTTGTTTAGCGATAGCGCAAGTACCGCGCACGAACGCTATCGCTAATGCGACAACGAGTCCGGAATCCGCGAGCCAATAGTGAGGCGTGCTCTAATGTCGCGAAAGCACTTTTATGAATGCACAATCCGCGAGCCGTCACGCCTGTCGCATCTGATGGCGAATCACGTCGCTTCGATCGCGTCCCGCGTGACGCGTCACAAGTGCTCCACGAAAGTGCGGGAGAGAGCGAGTGAGCGAGCGAGAAACGTGCATCACGCACATAGAAAGACGGGCCTTCCACCATCGAGTCGAACGTGACCGACTGTCGTCACGTCTTTCCGAATCTTACGTCCTGCCCCGTTTCTGTCTGCGACGTCCCCTCGAAGTTAACACAAAGCAGTTCACTTGTTTGGCAGTTATCCACTTCCCACTTGAGACAATGGGCGCCGCCAGCAGCTCCGAGCTGCCCATGAGCGAAATCGACTTTGACTCGTACACGGGCAAGCGCTACACCGTCGAAGTGCCACATACTCGCGACGACAGCCACGGCCCCGTCTACGAATCGCCCGACCAAGAGCCGCTCCTTGAAGCCGAGATGACGCTCTACCACATTTTCCAGCACGGCTGCACCATTGAAGACGGCACGCGGCGCTTGTACGGCCAGCGGGGCGTCGATCCTCAGACAGGACGCGCAGGGGCGTTCGAGTGGACCACGTACAATCAGGTCCAATCGCGTGTGGCCCACATTGCAACCGGCCTCGCCGCCGTCGGTGCCCTCACGCGACAAGCAAAGGTCGGCATCTTCGGTAGGAATCAGCTCGAGTGGTGTCTCGCGGCCCACGCGTGCGACTCCAGGAGCTACGTCCTCGTGCCGCTGTACGACACGCTCGGACCGGATGCAGTGCCGTTCATTGTGAACCACACGGAGCTCCGGGTGCTGTTCTGCGGCGTGAAGCAGTTCCCTGTGGTCATGGACTGTGCCGGTCGTTGTCCCTCACTGGCGCTCGTCGTGCAGTTCGAACCCGTGACGTGGCAACAGGTGCAAGAAGCAAAGGCCAAGAACATTGAGCTCCGGAGTCTCGACGAGCTCGAGCTACTGGGCAAAGCGGCGCCGCAGCCAGCAGATCCGCCACTGCCGACGGACGTGTCGACACTCTGCTACACTTCTGGCACGACAGGCGACCCCAAGGGCGTGATCCTGTTGCACCGGAACTTTGCCTACGTGGTGCGGCAATTGTGTCGCCGGAATCCCGTGTTCCCCTCGGACGTGCACTGCTCGTACCTGCCGCTGGCACACGTGTTTGAGCGCGCCGTGCTGGGTGTGTTGCAGCACGCTGGGGCGTCTGCAGGGTTCTACCAGGGCGATTTGTTGACGTTGATGGACGACATCGCAGAGCTCAAACCCACGGTCTTTGTATCGGTGCCGAGGCTGTTCAACCGCGTGCATGACAAGATCATGCAAGGCGTCGCTGCTGCCGGGGGGCTGAAAAAGTGGATGTTTGAGTCTGCTCTCGCTAGCAAGCTGACGGGTGTTTCGGACGGCCACAAGACGCACGCATTGTGGGATGCCTTGGTGTTCTCCAAAGTCCGTCTGGCTCTAGGAGGTCGCGTGCGTCTCGTGTTTTCTGGGTCAGCGCCTTTGAGCGCCGATGTCAAGGCGTTTATGAAAGTGGTTTTTTGCTGCGACGTCTTGGAGGGCTATGGACTCAGCGAGACGGCTGCTGCAGTGTCTTCGGGGTCACTCGATATGCCTGTGGGAGCTCATGTTGGCACGCCGCTTATGTACGGCCAGGTCCAGCTCGAAGATGTGCCGGAAATGGGCTATACGAGTCGTGACAAACCTCGTCCGCGCGGAGAGATTTGCGTGAAAGGCCCGATGCTGTTTGCTGGATACTACAGAGATCCAGAGAAGACTCGTGAGGCGATTGATGAGCGTGGATGGTTCCACACGGGCGACATTGGCTGCTGGAACGCCGACGGCACACTCAGCATCATTGACCGGAAGAAGAATATCTTCAAGCTGGCGCAGGGCGAGTACGTGGCCGTGGAGAAGATCGAGAACATTTACGCCAAGAGCAAATACGTGGCGCAGCTGTTTGCGTACGGTGATTCGCTGCAGAGCTGTCTCGTGGGCGTACTTGTGCCTGACCCGGAAGTTGCCGAGGCGTGGGCTCAAGAGCGCGGTTTGACTGGGCCGGATGCGACGTTGTCAAAGGTGGCGACAAACTCGGAGTTCCAAAAGATGGTGCTAGCAGACATGGCTCGGGTGGCAAAGGAAGCACAGCTGCGAGGTTTCGAGCTTGTCAAGGCGTTGCACTTCCACCCGGACCCATTTTCGCTGGAACAGGGTCTGATCACGCCCACTTTCAAGCTGAAACGTCCTCAACTCAAAGCTTACTTCCAGGAGCAACTCGACAAGCTGTACGAGGGACTGGAGTAGAGGCATGCGGCGTTTTGGAAGGCACGTTGCGGAAGCTGCTTTTTTACTGAGTACTGGATGTCTGAGCGAAGACGTAGCGCTTGTTTTCGGATTGACGCTAACGCTGTTATAACGGAGCGCTCCTGGTTTCTTGCTGATCCTGTGTAGCTTGTACGCGCTGTGCAAATTTCGTGGCGGATGTCGATTACAATGTGACAAATACAGGCTTGGTGAAGGACAATGCAGTCTCTGTTCTTCCAGGAGAGAGAGATTGTTGCAGACGATGTGGCAATGCTCGAGTTTCCGAAGCGCAACGAACGCCTTTGGTCTCGTGAAACTGATAGGAGAACGGATGGCGCGAGACGCGTGCTAAGGCGTTTGCATTTCAAACAAGTGCATGTCGCCCTACTTGCTGTACGGAAATGTTTACCCGACAAGAACTGCTTCGAGCTGCACTTGATAAACTGTTTGGCATGAGCTACTACATCGCGCGACGACGGGTTCTCTCGCTGGTCATGCGCATCACCACTCGCTTTCCTTGGGTTGCATGCACCCGGCCAGACCCATGGGAAGTTTGAAGAGTCATGGATGCATATTAAGCAGTGCGAACGCAATGATATCGAGGGAGACAGCAACGTTTTTGCAATGGTAAGGTAGCTCCCGAGTGACCGAAACAGATGCTGACAAGTGCGAGACATGCATTGTATTTGCCAGTGATGGACCATTCAAGATTGACACTGATGGAAAGACGATGCTATGCGCAGTACTGACGCATTTATACGCGTACCGTAAGAACTTCACAGCAGACTGCGTGCGACCAACGCAGAACGGCGAGCTGGAGCATTTGACCAGCCAAACAGCTTCGGCTTGACGAAGCATCCACCTGTCCTGCTTTCCACTCCGAATGCATAAAGTCGACACTCTCCTCCTCCCCATCATTCTTCTCCCCGCGTGGCCCGTCGACACATTGACTTCCATGTGCTTTATCCCGCAAGTTCTCACCGTCTGTAAACCATTTCGATACGGTAATGAGTCGGCCTGGGAGTGCTTCTTCCTCAACCAGCATGGCTCAAAGGCTGAGCGTTCCGTAACGTCGATCGATCCCTTGACGCACGTCGTACCCCCCAACCTTTTAGCACAATGACTAGCTAGCCATACCGCACCGCTGTCGTCTGTGCTTTGCGTTGTCAATCCATCTTGCTCGAGTAGTCACCATCGAAGATCCTGCTATTTGTCGAGACTTAACTGTGGCATTTCATGCGTGAGCCACCCGCCGCTGAGCACGATAGCAACAACGCTTCTCACTCAAGCACTCACGCAGTGTGAACCCCTTCTTGCTGTCTATGCACGAGACTTATAGCCGGCCTTTGTCTCTTCACGGGCTTGCTATTCCTCTTTGCTAAGCGCGAGTTACGTCTTCGAGCGATCGCAGAGGCGCTGTCAACATATCCATACGACATCCGCATTACCTGTCGCTCGAGTCGCGACAAGATGGTGACCGACAGTGTGACAAGCAACGATATACAAACTGTACAAAGCTTCTGTTGCCTTCACAGCTTCGATCGGACGCAGGAAGCGCAGCCGCCTTTTTCAATTCGAGCCGAGCAGGAGTATCATGACTACATGTGTGGACCTCCATCAAGCACCACAACCAGTTTACATACTTAGAAGTGTCGTCGATGAGGACCCAAGCGTAAGCCAAAGTGCTTTGGCAGTATGGTGGAAGCTAGTTGTCGAGCACCTTGTCATGTATGTGCCATGAAGCAGCTGCAGTTGGCATGGCCATCGCAGCTAACCATTGCATTACGACCGACGAGGGAGCTCGCATCGATGAGAGGCAAAGTATAACATTCGAGTAACAGTACCATCACGGCTGTACTTGTGTTGCACATCCACCTCTTCAACAGACCTGCGTGCTCACGCACATACATTTGTGGCAATGCATGCGACGCCCTTCGATTTGCTCACATGGGTGGCGTGAGCGGAAGGAGCAAGAAGAGATCTCTAGCTACCGTTGTATCGCCACGAGCTTTGAAATGAGCTGAACGAATAGTATCTGGCGCAACACCGAACGACGCGTTGCACGTACTGCGCTATTTTGTATGAGCTAAACGCGAACCGTACTCTTCCTGGCCGAGCTCGATGCCCGCACCTTCCGAAGCGACGACAGTAGCCCATGTACTGGCTTCTACGACTTGTAACGTTTTGATGATCAATGCATAGGCTTCGTTGCTACGCTTGCCGTACTGCGTCTAGCAGAAAAAGGTTGACCTGAACTGCAAGCTAGTTCGTCATGGACAGCGTCTAGTCTGCTTCACGGGTATCCAGCCTTTTGAACTGCATTGGCTCGCTTGTCCTCGCGTTGTCATGCAAAGGGATTGTTTCGAGTGGCTTTGCAAGCCTTTGCACAAAACGAACTGGACGAGCGCATCGTGCCTGGAGGATGTCCTGAGGCTATCTATCAGCTTGATGCATCCTCGACTTTCTCTTTCGTCGGCGCGTGGCTGGAGACCTGTTCCCGTACCTCTGGAAAAGGTCAAGTCTAAAGTGCTGATTGCAAGGACTCTGAACAGTTGCAGGGTGCAGGTACAACTCAGCTGTCACGTATCATATCGCTGATTGATACTTCTGTGCTACAATCTATAACTCTTGCGGGTGGCCCCAATCCGTTGTGTCAGTCTAGCCTCAGTCTGAACTTGATCTGTCCCACCTCACAAGCGATCCGTGTGGCTTATACACCTACTCGTTGACGTGATCTTTGACCGGAATTCACAGACAACCGGGCATGACTCCACCAAATTTACATTGCGTCCACCGGCTGCGCATTTGCCAAAACAGGATGTTGGTCGATATCTCGTTAACAAAATGACGATTTGGGTGACGATGGAAAGGCTATTGACCGCGTCATTGGACTACGCACCACTCAGTCTAACCGCTGCCTTGCGTTCTAAATATGAAAAGAAGATGGTCCAGTGCTACGCCTTTTCGATCGTACATTTTCATTTTACAGGAGGCCGCAGGAAAAGCTCGTCTCCTCGTGACAAAAGCGCCTTTTGGTGCCAGTAGCATTGGCGACCACAATCGTCAATGCCGCGCGTGACGGACACTCTCATCATGCGTAGTAGTGAGAATGCAAATGGTGAATCCACAAGCCCTTGTAGTTGGAACAAAATTGTACGGCGCGTGCTAACGAGAGATTGTAGTCATGTGTAGCTGTGCTCGGTTCCAGAATCTGGCGCACGGCAAGAAAACACTTGTGGTGTTGGTCGTATCACGACAGTGACAACACCTATACTAGTGAAGTATGTGTTCGTGGCCCACGCACCGAGAGGCTGAAGCCGCGCTCTACACGCAATACATGGGGCAATGGTGATACCGACAGCAATGATGAATTTGATGATGAAGATTCGTACCACCAATAGCGACTATGATGATAAAAACAACTGACATTATTCATCATGATATCGGTAGCGATAATTTTGTCGTACTGTGCTTGTACGATCCGTGCTCAAGGAAGCCGTGGCGACGATCGTTGCAGCCACTTCTCTTACTTGCAATGCTCTTTTCGTCGACGTAACTTTGCTGTGCGGTCTGATGAACTGTTTGCCCAAGGCCATACACAGCGACGGGCTTCAAAAAGCGCAGAGAAGCTCAGTGAAATATGAGGTCGTCGCTCGATGAAACGGTATTGAGCTCCTTCGTGTTATTGGTAACTCTGAACACAAAGGAGGGCCAAAGCTTATGGTGTCAGTCCAATCTGAAATCGTTCGTCTCAGCGTCTTCACACGATAGGAAGTGGCCACGCGAAGGTCCATGACGACTGCTCAGCGAGTGCAGTGCGTGGTCCGTCCGGTGTTCGCGTGACCGGCCGTATTGCATACCCCAATATCGACGAACAACCTTTTTGACAGCGGCTCTCATCTACAGCGTAGTTTAGCTGTGACAACTGGCATCGTACACTCACACGAGGCCGGACAGTCGTCATACACACATTTGTGTGCAAGTTGACACTAATTTACTTTCACTACAACAGAAACGTGCACTGACACACCCGATGCTTTGTTATTGGACGCGCGGGAGACGAAACTTAGCCTTACCCAGTCTCGAACTGGCAGGGCTGGACAGGCGGGCTTGCACACCTTGACGGTTTCCTGTACACGAGCTACGAGAGAAACGTGCTACCGAGACGTATCGGCGTCTGTAAGATGGCAGGCCGAGCAACACCAACAATAAGCGCAGTCAATGAAACAAACCGTTCCATTCACTTGTAGTTAACCTTCGCGAGCGCCAACGTGTTTGTTGCCAAGGTACGTCTTATAGTCACTGACGATCCTGTCGATATATAGAAAATCACCAAAAATATACGGACTAGGCGCTGCGAAGGCTGAAGATTCGGACAGCAACGGGCCTCCGTTCGAAAATGCGAGTAGAACCTGTTCAGGCGTGATAGCTTTCGCTTTCCATGCCTCGAATTGCAACTCTTCGACGTGTACCGCATACGGCTGCACCTGCTTGGCCCGCGTGATCAGTATTGCCACCTCCAACTCACCCAAATGCCTTCGAAGAGCTTCCACCACCGTAGTGTAGGCGGACGGATGCAAGGATGTGAAGCGATTAACCGTTACAATGCGCACGCAGGCATCATGTGACAGCAGTAGGTCCAAATCTTCGACCAGACGAACATTCACGCCGCGGTTGAATAACGACCGATAGCGTAGCATGGCTGTTGCCATTTGAACGGTATGGTGGGGGTCCTTAGCATACGTCTTGAGCAATAGAGTCAAATAGTCCTCGCTCGCCGCAGGGATATGATGCCTGAAGTAGAGGCTGCGCAGATCGACCATAAACGACTTGATCCATTCGACGAACCTGTTGACCCAGGATACGGGCCCATTCCACCGTTCTTCGAGCCCCTCTACGTCAGGAAGAGGGACCCTCGCCACTTCCTTAGGAGCCTCGTCCACGAGCTTCTCAGCGCCAGGTGTCGTGGCTTTCAGTCGTCTAGAAGCCGACACAGCATCCGCCGTGACGAGCAGCACACCACTCATCAAGAGCGCAATGACGAAGATAGAGGACCGCATGGCCGGATACCGTCAGAGTGTATGGCTCGACTTGAAGGGGTTTCGGACAGGATACACGCGGGGGACAAAGGCGCAAAACGAAAAGTGAGAACCATTGGGCGTCGGCGGTTCTGCCACGTAAATCAGGAGACATCCACTGCCGCAGCTGCAAGAGAGGCGGAGCATTATCTGATGACGTCGAGGGTGCAGGACGTCAGCGGGAAGATGTGCGACCGCCTTACTGGCTATGAGGGTTTGTATGCACGCAAGGCGGGACGCGCTAAACAGCGCCAACTGAGAGACTACCAGGCGCCAACTCTATCTCCAACTTCACAAATACAAATAGACAGTTGTTTTTGGGTCGTACTTTGAGCTCGTCTTGACCGATGACAAAATGACAGCGGTACATAGCACCGCGTCTTGCGAATGATACAAACGTATCATCTATTTTTCAAAGGCGACAGTCCTCCCCGCCACACCATTACTAAACGTTACGCCTTAGCGTTTGGAAACACACATAAAGCAATTCCGAGCCATAGTACTGCACTGACGTAAGACAAGTTCGATCCAAGGTGCTGCACTGAAGTAAGACAGGTTCGAGCCAGGTACGTGCAGCAAAGCTTCCTGTTCACCTTCATTTGATCCTATCGCGACTTATAAAGCTACTGGTTTCAGATTTCTAGATGGAGAATCATCAGCAAGACAACGACTGCTCAATTACGTCCCCTCAGCAATCCGAGGTTGATGGCAACATGCGACCTGACGTGTCGAATATGAGCAGAAAGTCAGTGCTATGTGTGTCCACTACTGGAGCGAAGGACGGTAGCTAATCTAGCAACAGGCGTCACAGGCAGGTGGTATTCGCATTCTTAACGTACTTGTCGAATGAATTTGTGCCCATGATGTTCAACAGGCCACTCAAGTCCTACCTTCAGCACCATTCATGATGATTTTCTGCCAGAGGTGTCGAGTGTAAATGATTCTATGGCGTGTGCTGAACAAGTGTATAAAGCAGCAGCTATAATAGACGATAAATCATTATTTTAAGTGTCTGGAGGACAAGGCCAATCGTATTCACGATCTGAATATGATCCGAGAAAAGGAACCGCTTCGAGAAGACATTGCTACAACCAGTTGTATCGTGGAATGACTCCACCTCTTCCGGTGGATCACCGACATGTCACGGGGCAGGATACTATGGGCTGCCAGGAAGTATCGAATCAAGTGCGTCATCTTCAATGTCCAAGTGAATATCCCGCACCCGATCAAGAACATACCCAATATCCTTCCGGCCACTGCAAGTACGATTAAGCTCACGGATATCGGCTACATTTGAAGGGAACCTCCATTTCTTCGAGACTAGCACTTATATGATGGGTGCTCGTAAGATGAGGTGGTGATGGTGGTGCTACTTTTGATGTTTCAAGGCAATTTCGGCACGCCCCACCACTTCTCGTCAACGCACTAAATCTATAATGTTCTTATTGCTTGCATCACGTTCTCCAACGCTGACAGCTAATACAGAAATACCAATAGTTCAACAATCAATGCTTTGACGTCACACGAATTATTGTTTTGAATGTCTTTCAATCAAGCCTTTTTGCTATATCATCAGCATGCCAATTTCTGCACGGATCTACTTGTTTGTTGCACTTATCAATGATGAGGATGACACGTATGTCCTTGAGCTAACTTATCATGCATGTAATCATGCATATACTATAGAAGAATTGGACAATCGTTTATTGAGTGTTTACATGCACTAGATACGTTTGAGGTATGGAGACAAGGTATGAGCACGTAGCTGACTCGGTATAAGTTTAACCTCATTTGAATCTTTATTGCAATAGCCGACACGCGTGATCCGGACCCCGCCAAATGTTGTTGTTGCAGATCACTGAGTGCGTTCCGCGGTGCCTTCGTCTGCCAAAGCTCGAGCTATCAGTATTCATATACGCTCGAGGCTCGACAATTGACTTAACGGATAAGTGAATCTGTAATTAGAAATCACATGCGCCGAGAAACCGTTTGATATTAGTAGACAGATGCGTTTAAAGAAATGGCTTCGTTACCTTGGCATCTCCTGGTTGTACACATTTTCGCCAGTCCACTGCATATCATTGACCCCAGGGCGCTTGTTCCCATCAAAATATTCAAAGAACAGGTACACCACTGTACCCTTGCAACCTAGCAGTCTTCACGACGTAGGCTCATCAGCAACTTGAGCGCGACGGCGTATCCACACTTGTTTCCCAGTCATCCTGCTAAACACGATACAGATATGCCCAACATTAGTGTGTAGGTGCATATAGTCATCGTTTGTAGAGACGTGCGCGTCGGAAAAGAATCACAAGACTGTCATGGAGAGCCAAATAGTCTGCCACTATCCTTACGTTCTTGTCCTGTGATCGCCTTTGAGATCCTGGCGTTGTCCACTGACCCCTGTACATCAATGAAACCGGTGACGCAGTTGTGTGCAAAACCAATACGATTTAATCTTGTTCTGCCAGCAGGTGTGCTCATTCGCGGTAGAGCTCGTCAACTCTAACATACCGCCTTGAAGTTGCAGAAGAGTTAATTAGCTACATGTCAGAGCCAAACTTAGTGTGCCGTAAGCGGATCATGGTCCTACCGTGTCCCGATGATTTCGTTCCGTAGGTCCGCGTACATTCATAGGAATGCAGTTGCGAAGGAGGTGACACGTAGAATGCAAGGGTCGGCTTTTGGGAGCTAGTTCGCCTCCTATTAAATAGGCGGGACCCGGGCAGGGTCGTGGTTTCCCATAAGTTTGATTCTGTTCTTTGAGCTTCTCTTAGCGTAGAATTCGATGCTATCTGCCGCTGTCGTTTTGTCATCTGTGAAGACGAACACAAAGTACGACCGAAAAACAACTGACCATATGTATTTGTGTAGTTGGAGATAGAATTGGCGTCAGGTAGTCTTTCAGTTGGCGCTGTTTAGCGCGTCCCAAGCAAATCGGTCTTGCCGTCACGGACAGCTTAATTCTCTCAGCGGATACTGCTCGCGCATCTCGTCATGCGACTTCTATGGCCAGTACGTTTGTGCCGTCTTGACTTGGTACCAGAAGGGTTGACATACCAGCTACAAGCCACTATGACCGATGGAAAGCGTCTCGCGCTTCCCAATTAGCGCCTTTGGGCAACAGGAAACAACCGAAGAATACCTCCACCGGGCCGCCGGCCCCTTCCCTTGGACAGGACGTCCCCTATAGCGGGGTCCAGGTTAAAGGGCGGAGGCCATCTATCCGCTGCGTGCGCTACGGGAGGCGGCGCAGCGTGCAAATCGAAAGGGAAGCAACAAGCGAGACAGCCCAGGGTGAGGGCTCGGCAACATCAGTTGTCTTTCCACCTAGTCCCTGCTATTCTACGTCAGCCTTCAAGTCGCCAGCCTGGTCGCATGGCATGATGCCCGGTCCCGCGAAGCGAACATGCCTAGAACGTTATTTGATCGGACCCGCCCGGGTGCGCCAGCGACCTATCGGAGTGGTGTCCGGCGTCTTCCGCGACTTCAGCGCCCTGCCTACATCCCAGTCTGGATGCTTGATTCCACGTGCCCTATGTGGAGTGTCCCCGTGACACCCACTGTCTCGATCCAGCAGACTCAGTGTGCGTGGAGGAGAATGACGAAGTCGAGAAGAAGCACACCGACATCGTATCGTCATAAGCACTCAATTGACGTTCAGGTCCTACTACTAGTACAAGCAGCAATCCTTGCTGCGTGTGGCTCTAGCACAACTCGTTGGAAGGTGAATGGACAATGCAGAAGGTAACGAACGTTATTCGTACTGTCCCAAATCACGTTCGTAGCAGCAGAGCGACCATGACACGATCGCGTATGAGCAGAAACTGAGGCGGAGTACCATCCGGTTGTACTGACGCAGCTGAAGCTATATACACTGACAAAATGCCAGCAAGTGCCTCGACTCCTCGCGTTCGCTGTTCGTGCAGAGGAAGTGTCAGCGCCAATCGGAACACGTTGGGACGTAAAGAAAAGTATAAATATGTTTACTATGATTTAGGTTTTTGCGACATCTCTGTTGATCTTGTCTTAACTAGATTAAACTACAAACGTCAATGTAGCTACTCGCTCACGCCCCATTGCACGCGTCGAGCAGCGAACGGTGTTGAATATAATGGCCTATATCAACGAAGAAATGGAGCGGGGCTGAGGATTATTATCGAAGGTAATACTCCATCACTATTTACTTGATTAGGTAATATTAGTAAATATTATCATTTAAGATAGTATCTTCATTGGCTTACTCAGGAATCAATTACACGTAATGGAATCTCCACGTTCCATCACCAGACTTAACCAATCTGTAACATTCGTGGCTGATCGACAACTGAGTAAAGACAGAGTGATCACCGTTGGATCACTCCCGGAAAGAGATCACTTGTTGGCCAGACCAACCTATTTTTGGTTTCCATCGCATGGTTGTCACGTCCACGCGGTGTGCGGCAAATATACAAAAGACGCTACTGCACGCATGCAAGCTGCTGCCGAAAAGACAACGAAGAAAAGGAAGCAGTTGATCTATCAAGTGTTGCTTCTGCACTAGATGATCGGTGGTCGTTGTGAGTTCCTAAAGTTAGGATGACCCTAAGTTAGAGGTCATGTATTCTGGCGAGTCGGATGTGTAACAGGGTGAGCCCGTTACATAAAATGATATCGTTGTATCAATTTTTATACATTATCTATTTAGATAATGTTCAATTGACATTACTCGTAAGGAGTAAGCTTGAAGGAATATTACCCCCGAGGGTAATATTTCTTTGATGGCTTGCTTTACCTGATGGTTGATGATCACGGTACATCGACCAGAATAATCACCAATCGCTGCTGGACGCGCGCAATGGGTGGTGAGCAAGAAACCCACATAGTAGATTGTAGGTTAACATAGCTAGCTCAAGACAAAGATGGCATATTAAGGAACATAATTTTATTAAATACAGTTCTACTTTTTTCTTAGACAGAGCTTTCGAGTTCTGCCTACTTCG